AGCCAAGAGAGAAGTAACTGCCCCTACTTTTCCCCACACTTGCAGACGCCCTTGGCCTGCACATAGTTCTTGGTAGTAATTTACCAATATAACCATGGTAAAACAAATAATTAATAGCGATACAAAGACGCGTAAAAAGTCACCGATTGCTCCATGATATTCGAGTCAACTTCTACGGCACACCCACATTTATTCGTTTATTGACTATATATTATTGTCTGGAGATTTATGACGCGGCTCATAACTCATAAAGGCGACTGGCGAATAGCTTGTGTGTGTATACGAAAGTGTGCTGAAGGAATCCGCTGCCGCCGCCACACGTTGAATTATTCATTACCGAAAATCAGCTTGCGGAGGGTGTGATATTGTACTATTATATTATAGGTGCAGATATTCCGTGTGAAAAAGTTGATTTTCAGCAAAAAAAAAAAAATGTTCGTTGGTCAATAAGCAGTATACACACATAATGGCCCCGAGACCACCACCCACCCCCCCCCCCCAACAACTCACCCATCATCGACACCGCCAACACCACACACACGCGGATAAACAAGATAAACTGTACGGCCATAAATAAAACACACCCAGGCTTTTAGCACAATCGATCTTGGTCGGTTGCCGACGCCGCCGTATACTTTAATCGAGGTGCAAAGGCGACGACGTGTGTTTGATTGGTTAAAGGGAGCAGCAGCAGCAGCAGCAGCAGCGGTGGTAGTAGTGGCAGTAATAGTAATAGTAGTAGTAGTAGTAGTAGTAGTAGTAGTAGTAGTAGCAGTAATAGTAGCAAGCCCTGGAATCTTGGACGAGGGGGGCGGGGAGAGAGCTTTTTCCCAAAGGACTATGATGTATTAGCGGTCCGGTTGTACACACACGCACACACAGAAGCGAGCTCATAACTACACACTGAGGTCAGGGACCAGTGGCCACGGACCCGTGACAAATGAAGAACGATCGTTCTTTTTGCTACTTCTCCGTGTGTATATACACACATGCCCTGTTTCAAAAACGAGTAAATCTTATAAAACACCGACAAAAGGGACCTCTCCGCTACCACCGCCGCCGGAGACCTCTTTTCTTTCTCTCCTTTCGCCCGAAATAATTCAATTCCGCGCGACCTTCTGCCAGTTCGCAGTCGCGAACGCTCAGCCATAGCTTCACTCGCCTACCCGCCCGCCATTCGGTCCTATTCCTGTACACGTCGCCCAGTATCACGCGCCGCGGCCATTCTTATACGAATTTCGAGAATATCAGTCGGATAATATATTTTATACCCGTTATTGGAGCACATCCAAATATTTGATTATTGCAGATATTGAGTTGTATCCGCGGACATAACGGTTGGTTTAATCATGGATTAACGAACACCGCTTGAATAATTATTCGTGTGCTATGTATTTCAATACCTATTTAAATATAAAGTCAATAAGTGGGCGAAATGTATTGTTAAATAAACTCGTTGTGGAATGTTTGATTATTATATTTATTGCTCTCTTGTCTACTATATTGTAATATATGTAAAACAAGAGTCCCGCGACTTTTCCGTACAAGCGCAGTGGCTCACATAGCCTGTTTGTATAATAATTTCCACGATCGAAATCAAATGCTTACATTCAAACGTAACCAATGTCTACGTACACGGCACAATGACATCCGCTTAGAATCGTGTCTGAAACAAAAAAAGTTACATTGTTACATTGCAATTTTCAAACATTATAGGTCCACGTGTTTTTACTAAATATATTATTTTACATTCAGTCATGGTGTAGGTGGATATTATGGACCTACCAACATTATTATTGTTTCGTGTGGTACGCGTTTAGACCGGAACACGACCACCGTGAACATCGTTAATCCGTGGGCACCTATCATTATCGAAGTTTCAAAAAAAATTATTTAACGAGATGAATTTACTTTTGTATGCGAAAAATTTCAATCTCAACTCTCGTTTCCGGTGAATTGCACTAAATTAGAAAATAAATAAACGTACACTAGAAAGTTACAAATTAGTATATATTTCAATTCTCCTCATTATTGAAAAGCTTTTTTCTGAGTCTGTTTCTTTCAATTTAGTACCTACTATCTAAATACCGTCTTGTAGATTTACATGCTCTTATTTTATGTTAGTGCAATAGTTTAGTCGTTCCAGCTCCGTGCATAAAATGTTGGTCAGAATATAGAGTGGGCAAAGCAAAATTAACTATTCAAAACGCGTTAATCAGCACTCCGATTTATGTTTTATACAATACCTACAAAATGATTACATTTAAATATTATTACGTTTAATGAATTTCAGTTATTAATTTTGTAAAAACAAAGTGAAAATACATTTTTAGGAGGGTAGCTTATCGACTTCCAAACATCATATTTCCCACAAAAAAAAAAATGATAACGACACTACAATAATTGTGAGGTCAATCCATAAATATCCAAAGAAATTCAGTGGTTGGCCAAAAGATTTGTAGTGGTAAAACCACCAGTAAAACGTATTGAACAATATATATATATATATTTATACTACATATAGTTATAAGCTCCCAATAATATTTTCCAACACAGTAACACGTACAAACGCGTCCCGCAAAGTACTGTTATAATAATAATAATAAATAATAAAATTAATAATAATACGGGTTTAAGCGTAAAACGTTGAAATTTATTATGTGTTTTCTAACGTCGGCGACTTTATGGTGTATCTAAAAAAAATGTATGTGATTATTATGGTTACCGCCAAATCGCCGAGCTCTATTCAACAACAAATTACATCCTGAGCACGTTTTAGTCATTTGACCGCGTGACTTTACCCCATTCAGCTACCCATTTGTATTTCTGACGGGGGTGCGATCTCCAACGATATAATATTAAAATATATACTGCCCCCCCCCTTCCCGGACACAGCTAATTAATATTTATTTGTTTTTTGGAAACGTCGATTTCTGTAAAAAAAAAACAGCTCCATGGTGCCATCCGATACTTAGGTAGCACAATTTAAATGATCGAATTTTGACTTAAAACCTGTAACCACACCAGCGTGTATTGAATAGCCATAACATGCATACTATTTATGTACTTGCCGATAACTCATTATAATTATATTTACGCTCATAATGACCGCCACGTGTACCCACAGTAGCTACTATTTAAATATAATTAATAGTTGAGTTGTTTAGTGTTCTCGCTCTAATTATTGAAAAAAAAAAAATTTGATGTTTGGAAATTCTGACGTCAAGTGCTTCGTATAAAATCCTAAATAGGGGTGGCGAGTGAGAGAATCCACCCTTAAATAAAAGTCCCACCTCAGTACCCCACTACTCCATCCAATTTTTAAGGCCACCTATTATATATCATGTCTGTATATTGTATGTATCTTACACGGAATTGTATACTATTGAATAATACATACGCAGTGAATTCATTTTTATTCTCTTGTGTACGTACTTACTTATTGTAGTTCGAATTTGAAGGCACTGAAACGACTTGATATAAACTTTGTAGGATCAACCGGAGTGTGGCATGTCGTGAAAGTTAAACAACGCCGAAAGTCGCGCTAAATCCTGATGTGGTTGGTCACTAGGGATTTTTAGCGACCTTTCGTGCTATGTGTTAGTTCCTCTCCCTCCCTCCACAGTGGTAAACTTATTGTGGATAGATTTGAGCTTTGTAAAAAGATTAAGTCACACATAATCCACTATACACGAATCCTTGACGCGTGCTTTTGGCCAAATGTCCTGTTATATCCTGCCCCGAACTGCACAAACAGTGTTTCAGAGTGCGTCGTAAACACGGCTTTTTACTTAACAAATAATGACATTTGAAAAAAAGTCACTACACTTTATTATCGCGTGCAATAATTGACGTAAATCATATTTCAAAATGACTTGTCTTTGGAAAATAAACTCAATGAATATTTAAGACTTATTAATAGGTACCTGGTACTTATATTACCTATAATGCCTATAATTATTATCATATTATACATATCATTATACCTTTTTTCAAAGCTTTAGTTAAATTTAATTTATCTTTAATATCATACTAATAATATATTATAAACAACTTTTCTTGATTACGTATTTACGAATTGCATTCAAGTTATAATGTCTTAAAAACTTACAATACCACCTCATAGGTGGGAAAGCAGGAGGGGGAGGAAATGGCAAAGCAAAATTATAAATACATTTTTTCGTTCTTTGCCCTTCTATGTCATAACACAGATTATATTATATTATTTATTATTATTATTATATTAATATAAATCTGTGATCATAACATACTACACACAACACAATAATGTATAGTATAGTAATAATATCTTCAACCAAATATACGATAGTTTCCATTTACTAAATATTCGTGAAAAACATAATTTAATGTATGCGTATTATATAATACTGTTCATGTTAAATATAACTATTACTAAAAGTAAACGTATAAAAGTAAGCAGAGGTACCAATATAAGCAATATAGGTAATTCATTTTTTTTATATAACCATTAGCGTGTTAAAAACAATTTTTTAATTACCTTTATTATATTTTGTTATCGGGCAATACAAGCTTGATAATTTATTTTCCAATAATATATTCTATACAGGTATAATAATCTAAAATGTCATCTCTATATATAATATAGATGCTCGACTCCGATGAAAATACATTTTGTATTCAATGTTGGACAATTTTATGTTTGTCAAAAATGGAGTTCATAATTGTCCTCAGAAATCTGCTGATAAATGTATTATTTAATAAGCTTCTAAAAGTTTTAACTCGTTGTTTATTTGTAATTTAAAGAATATTTGTAAAATTTTGCTCAGACTATAAAATATCAAATCAATGTTTAATGGAATTTTAAATAATTTAATATTTATGGACATTTCTCGAAAATTGTATAAATTGGACAAAATAAATATTTTACTTTAAATAATGTAGTTTAAATATTATTCGTTTATTACATTTAACGGTAATAAGATGATTTTTTTCATGTATTAATAAATTATAATACTCTGGCACCGTACCTAGATCAGAACAAGTAAATCACCGTGGTCATTCAAAATTGTAGTAATCACTACTCCCGATTGTATGATTTATAATTTGAATATTGACTAAAACGTTATTATTATCAAATACGTTTATCGGTGAATTTAATCACGAAACATAATCTTTGAAATGTAAATAAATTGTAGAGAAAGGTGTTGTATATTTTTTTTTTTTTTGTATTTAGAAACTTTGGGTTTGATGTTCCTCACTTGAAATATTATATGCACACTAAGTGTTTTTATTCAATTTGAAGAACACAAAAACGAATTCTTTGCTCATTACCCATATTCTGGCCTAAGGTTAAGACATATTAACACCAAGATGGCGTTTTTAAATACATAGCATCACAGTCAAAATTCGAGAACCCCTTCTATATTTCATGACATACAGCAGTAGGTTATCAATGACTATCAAATTTGAATGGCTTAAGAAAAACTTCAAAATTGTCTACAATTTTTGAAGTGACGAAAAACGAAAATATAGAGTGCTACAAATGATGGCAATCTGAAAAAGGATTAGTTTTAATTTGGATACGTACCTATAGGTATCTTAATATTTCGTCGTGCTATCTTAATTTATCAAATATTCATATAATGCCATGGGAAAGTGTAGCCATAAGTAAAATAAGTACTTATATGATATTACACTTGGGGCGCACCATCCATAAAGTATATTTTGCAGAAGTCCGTTGTTAGCGCCAAAGGGATGGTGATGAAGTGTTACAGGTACCAATATACAATGTATTAATAATATTATCGTGTCGTCTATATTATATAAGACGAGGCAAGTATTAAGACTTAAGAGATAGTTTATAGTAACAATATAAATTATAATATAATATAAGCGTGAAGTCATGAGACGTGTGGAGGTATATAATAGGCAATAGCATACGATGTGCTCCATTTATAATAACGTTAGAGACAATGTAATTATTAATTACCTGCTTAATAACTATCTTTGATGATTTTGGGGATTTCAAAACTAAAATGGTTTCTTGTAGTTATTAAGTTTTCATTTTTATTTTTATGTCACGCTACATTTTTATAAATAAACCTAGGTAAGTATATTTTCTATTGACAATACCTATCTAGGTATCTATGTATTTTTTATTTTAATCGAAAAAAGCAGAATAATTTTTAAGTTTATTTCACATAATATTATATGGGTACCTATTATAACGAAATGTAAAAAATTATTCGGTTCGTAGCTACTTAAATGTGAATCGGGCTGGAAGGGTTGCACACCAATCGTTTGAGTTGTGGTGCAAGAGCCGCCAACCAGGAGGGTTCAGCCTGCAGAGGGGGGTTTTTCGAGTTCCTATACTTATATGGTTATTTGTAATGATTATTATAACATTAAAATGTAATGCGAGATACACGACATCGAAATATTATTATGAGGACGGAGTGGCCCTCATGCTGCAGCTCCTGGCCGGCGGCGGCAGCGTGTACAGCACTTTCGTGGACGGCCTGTTCTCCCAGTCACCCGGGAACCTCTCGCCTGTGCTCCTGTTGCACTGCATGGACAGCGTGCTCTGCTCGTACACCTGGTGCAGCACTCGGCTCCGCATCGGCGTCCACTCGGCCCCGTTGTAGTTTGCGCTCACCGCCCGCTCTGGCGACGTCCGCTGCCTCTCCCACCTGCGAGCACGGATACAACAGGTCTTGTTGGGTTAAATATATACGTCTTAGACATGATTTTTGTTTTTAAATTTATTTTATGAAATATGAATGCCACAGTGGGCGTACAGATGTAAATTATAAATATTACCCTAGATTATACAATATATATTCAATGATATTATTTACACTTCTTGGTAATGCAATTGATTAATAGTAAAAATACATTATGCATTAATTAATGCACAATTTAATCGAGGACACAATAAAATGTATTATACAAAATACATGCAGGAATCATCAAAACAAAACAACAAATCAAAACATCGTTAGGTGCTAAAAACTGTAATTATTTTTTAAACAATATTTTATTTCATTTCGGAAAGATAATGGATGATAAACCGAAATTGTTAACTTTGTTTCCTATACCTGCATTAATAACATTCGTTTCTGCTGCAGCATGAAAAAAACAATCATTTAATTTGTGTAGAGCAAGATACGTAGAACATAGAAGTAGACCTTAACGTGAAATTGGTACATTTGAAGTGAGATAAAAAATAGTACTTCGGGACAGTAAATTTAACTACGAGTCAAATTCCAATAACTAAAAATCGCTTAATATACTATACTATATATTTTTCAAAACAGTGAAAACTTTTGTTCGTTATATATTATTATTATGTTAAAGCCTTGAAATATACATAATTATAAATTGTACTCGATAAATCATCATTCAGAACACGTCATCATATACAATAATAACGCATAATGTAATAGATATTTACAATTCATATTTAATCATAACATCAGTACATCTACAATGATTAAAATATAATAATACATCAAATGTTTACGATAGGTGCAATATTCAAAACCACATGGAAAGTTAGAAATCTATCAAACTACACGCTGTTATTATATACCAACACTTTATTGAAAAACGTTGAATCGAAATGTGTAAAGCATAGCTCATGTAGTCATGTCTTGTGAGAAAATTATGATTTTATTCGTTTTTTACATTTAAAAAATAAGTTGAATTTCAAAATGTGTATCATTATTACCTACCTACTTATATTATAATTTAAGTACGTGTATTTTTTTATTATTATTGATTCACACGATAAAACCGCACTCGATTACAGAAAAAATGTCTTGAAATACGATATCATTGACTTTCCAATTATTGAACAACTTATACCGACTGAAATTAATATCTATGGTTTGATTGAACGTATAGAAAATCGAACTACTCATAAAATGTCCATAATATTGTGTTAAGAGTCGTATTGTTATTCCAAGTATAATTTTTATAAATGTCCATGGTATACCATGTTTGTTCCTGCTGACACGAGACTGCCATTAACTTTACATTAACGTTTTATTCGTATTTATATCTAGATTGTTATTATTACATAATACAATATTAAAATGTAAGACAAAACAGTTATGTGGTTTATCTGAATATCATGTGAAACACGACATGTAACGGAGACGTCCAAATAGCAGCCGCAATCACAGTAATTATGTAATAATACGATGTACGTCATAGCTAGTACATTATACTACATTTAATTAACTCAAGATGAGTTTTATGAGAATATATGTATACATATATATAAAGCCTAAATAGTTTTATTATTTTTATTTTATTGAACTTAAGCCCGGCAACTATGGCCATTAGCTGTTGTAGAGGTTATGAACTGTGTCAGGAGTAAGGTTGGTACGGTAGGTTGTTTTTACGATTGTTACGGTTGTTACGGTAGGTAGCAAACACGTGTATATGTGGCAAGGTTTATAACTACTGTGAACCCTGGTGGCCACCCATCCGGGAACTAGTAGCTGTGGCCGTTACTTACTCCCAGTCTCATTCCGCGACTGGTAACAGCCAACGTGCCACGCCAAGCCACAGTTTATTATTATTGAACATAATACGAGTAACTATTGAATACTCACTCGTTCAGAAATTTGAAATAGCTTTTGAGGTTCTGGTCGCTTATTGAACTCTTGCACACTTCTAACTCTATCTTTGGATAGTAATACACGTAGTTGACGCACATTTCGTCGGTAATGCTGAATCCGCCAAGTGTAATATTTTGTCTGCTCTCGGTGTTGTAATGACACGTAGTTATTAATGCATCCCCCTGTACATCAAACACAATTTGATACATTAAATATTGTACTTGAATCAATTTTTTAAAAACATTTTAGGTATAAGTACTTCTTAAATATTGTTTGCACTAATGCGCTCATAAATCTGTCAAACCTTAATTTTAAATTAAGTACTAATGTAGAGGTGTTCGATTTCAGCATATTAATATAATTAACAGATTATAATAATTTACTATCATAAATACTACAATGAGCAATAACATTTAATAAATAACGACTATCAACACCTAGGGATAGATTACCAGACTACCTATATCGATGATTGAATTTGTCGATTAATCATTTTCAAATTTGAAAAAATAACAAACATAAAATAATATTTTAGTTATTTTTTAAATTACTTACGCAAAACCCCAAAAATAAAATGTATTTAATTACTAGCTGACACGTTACTTGACTACTGTACACGCATCTCAAATTACCAATAAATAAAAAACATCATATAACACGTTTTGTTTGAAGCTCATTCAACATTATATTATTATAATATAAGTTATATTGAATGATTTTTATTACTATAATATTTTGGGACAATTAATAAGTCAAGTAGCTATAATTAGAGGTACATCTTTGGTTAGGCGTTCGACTTTTAATTTTAAACTTGTTGTAGATATTGTATACCCATAGAATATATAGGTACATTCTTTACCACGATATTTTACATCGCTCGTTAAACCAACCGTCGTTACACTTCACATTTAATCATATACCTGCATGAACTCAATTAGCTATTTGATGATATTTCATGTTTCAAACACCATTAGGATTATTGTTTTTTTTTTATTATTATTTATTATTTATCGTCCTAATTCTCATAGCTCGTTAAAGCGGGTAATCATGAAAAGTTTGTTTCGTAAAACATTTCCATTAGTGATGGTATTATATTATTATATTATAGCCGGGTTATTTAATCTAGCAAACACAATAATATTATATACTTATACATAAAATAATTTTATACAAATTCATACTTGAAATTATAGTACAATACTATACAAATATAAATTGTATACAATGGTAATAAATAATTGTTGGAAAACTTTCAAGAAATTGATTTATGACCATATCGAGAGTTGTATACAACAATTTTAATCCCCTTAACCATAGTCGAACTTCGGGTGTACCAATTGCTAATGTTAGTATTGTACATATACCTACTACATAGAATGATTCACCAAGCATGCTCGCCGCCATTTTTTCATTTAATAATAAATTTGTTCAAATTCTCATTTTTAAAATTGTTAAGTATTCAGAACCGTATTTTTAAAGATTATCACTTGGTTGTATTACATGTATATAGGTACATAGAGTATGTCGCGGAAGTAATGCGAAAGCATGGTTCCCACGGTTCAAAACTAAAAAAAAAGAAGGTATATGTAGAATATATACACAGAGGCATTTTCAGCGCAAATAGGATACCAATATTACATAATAGATACAGGTAGATACACACTAGTCGATTCACCGATGCTCATCGCTCATCCACATTTTTTGTTCGAATAAAAAATTTCTTCAATTTTTTGGTTTTTGAAATTAGTAAACCTTGCTTTATATTAATCATTATATTTTGAAATATTCCTACTTTAGTGTACACGAGTACCTACTAATAAGGATAATATGCGTATGTCAATGATAATTATTGATAACAGGATTGGAAGACATTAGACAAGTATAAATATAAATATTTGAAAAAATTATTTGTTTACCTACAATAAGCACTACATTATATTATATATAGGTTAGTTTAATACATTTTTAATTTTCATAAAACTATTTTTAAAGATTAAGACTGTAATACTTTTAATTAATATTTTAATAACTATGTAACTCGTTCGGATTTAGAACTAGATACACCTGCAAAGTTCTCATAAAATAATAATGTTGTTTTTTTTTATAAAGTAATGTTTGCATCGGTAACAGGACACCCCTTAAAATTTAAATGGTACCTACAAAAAAATCTAAGTTTATCCAAAAAATAATAAAATCATCCAGTTTGTAAGTTGTAGACACGTATAATATACACAGGCATCTATACTTCAAAATTTGAAAAACCAAAATTTGAAAAAATTCTTTATTAAAAGAAAAAATGGGGGTGAGCATACTCGGTGAATCACCCTGGATCCTTGTATGCATGCGTATTATATTATATCAGTATCCTAATATAGTACTGAAGTGTCAAATTCCATTGTGTCTGTACATCTTATAAACATATAAAATATAAATACATAATAGTATGGGTAATATATAACAGTATACATAGAGTATTATATATAGGTAGGTACTGCAGTGCGTGTATGAGCTCGATGTGAGGATAACCCGCCGACGACCGATTGATTTCGGTTTATTGATCGCCGAGGCATTGTTAATAATTAATTAAAACGGAAAAAATTCATCGAATAGATCATGTATCCATACGAATATAACGTGATATAATTACACATTATTACGCCGTTCTGTCGTCGGTTGATTGGATCGCACCCGGACGAAACCCGAGGGTGTTTGCGCTGGGCGCTTCATCTTATATTCGTAATTTTTTTTGTTTTAAGTTATCATTATTTATCACACTGTTATAATGTATTTTTCAGCGCCTTGGACGATATTATATGCAGGGCACTGCACAATCACAGCGGCCGCCGCCGAAATTCCTGTCTAGGAGAGACCGTCATTGTGTTTTCTTCTCGTGGCGTCGACGACAGACGACTGCGAAGCTGTACATGGCGGTAACGATACACTATACGTTCACAATATATTATCATCATTATTAATTATTATTAATATATAGTAGGTACCTGACCTGCAAGACAATTTAAAGATAGACAATAGTATAAGTAGCAACTAGCAAGTATACAAGATAACATATTATATACATATACATACATTTATACATATGTATATATTATACTACCGATCGCCGCCGATAATGATTATTGAAAATATATCTACTATCTAGGTACCCATACCTACATAATATTGTACTGCGAGGATAATTTCATGTTACATTATTATAAGTAAACATTCCCATGTAGGACATACAGCTGTAATGCTGTTAACTTTTCCTAACATTTTTTAAAAGTATTAAGCAGTTGCCGCAGTTATTTTAAGCTACCGTCTACTAAAGCAGCGGTTCCCAAACTTTTACAACCACGGCACCCTTAAAAAATTATTTGTGTTTCGCGGAACCCTAATGTCTAATCCAACTCAACTACAATTTTTGTAAATTAAAATAGGAAAATCAATTCCTTAAACTCTAAGGTCCAAATAATATTTTAATGATACTGTTAATGACTTTTCATTATTAAACTTAGTTTAAAAAAAAATTTTCAATCAAAAATTTTTTAAACAATAAACATTAAATAAACATAATTTTCTCAATAATCTCATACATCTAACGGAACCCTTGACATTGTCCCACGGAACCCTAAGGTTCCGCGGAACACACTTTGAGAAACGCAGTACTAAAGTACCATCACGTCATCCATTTTTCGTAGTTCCAAGCCAAATTTACTTATTAGACAGTGTTCTTAATTTTACAAATTATAAATCTTCATATTATGTATTTATTTATTTTCGAAAAACATAATCGATTGAAAATTTTTCGAATTTTCTCCATGATTTATTATTTGCGTTAAGACTGTTCTTCATTTTGGTAGCGACTAGGTAATATGGATAATGAGTATGTGATATTACTAGGTACGAGTACAATACTATAGAACTATAGTAACTATCGTATATTATAATTTATTATATTCATATTATGAACATAGTGAGTGTGACTTACAGGAAGCACTCGCACAGGTTTATGTAGTAAACGAATTTCCTGGAAATGAGTGCTGTAATGATTATCCCTGTTCAGTTCCGGTAGTTCCTGTCCGTCCCGCACGTGTTTCGTGTAGATCATGGTGCCAGTGAGGTGAGTGTGCAATTGTGAACCAAAGATCTCAATCCCAGCCGAAGGAATGCTCTAAAAGTTCAAAATCATTATGGTTTTATTCACTTATTGATTTGTTTCACCGATCGAAATGTGACATTATTATTTAGTTATTTAACTGCAAATCACTGAAAAGTGTCAAGTAAAAATTATAATATTGAATTATTACTATAAACCTTCGCAGGGCCGGATTTAACCATTGTGCCGCTTTAAGCACTAAATAATTTGCCGCCTTTTAATATAAATATTTTTCTTGTCCAAACAATGTTATTAAAGCATATAATTATAGTTTTTTTCCTTTTTTACTTAAAATTTTAATGTTGAAAAATAAATACATACAACTCTACGATTATGAAAATGGAAAACATAAAATATGAATATTACCACAATCACGTTGGTCTAAAAACATTTTATAATTAGTTTCATTTTATTTTAGTTCTAGTTACATATAGTAAAAATGTAATATTAAAAATTATTTGCCGCCCTAAGCACTAGGATATAGTGTTTAATGGGAAATACGGCACTGAACCTTCGTATTTTCTTTACTACGACGAGAAAGTCAAATCTCATCAAATGGTTCATCTGTCCATTAAAATGTAGGCACCAATTTTTAATATACGAACGACATCTAGTGGTTTCTTTTCTAACTATATTATAATAAAATTCTATTGGAGTAAAGGTATTTTTTCATTACATTTGGAAATTAATTTCTTTTAAAATGTACATAAAATGTGTCTCTAAAAAGTATTACTTCATTTGTATTGATATTATTAGGTACACAACAATACTCTATAACTATAGAAGTTTATAATATACTCGTCATTTTCCAAATACCTAGAATAAAATCGATAAAATCTAAATTATTTTCACAATAATTAGCCAAACTTATAAACCATATTATTTACTGAAATATTGTTTGTTGTACATGTGTAAACGGAATCTCTTGAGTCTATAATAATTGATACTCGTCAAATAATAGCATACTAGTATTATAGACCATCTCCGTATGGTAACATTTAACAACTAGATTGCGCTAGATAAATAAAACTTATTTTAAATGTTTGATCAAAAATAATAGCTATCTATTTTTGTTAGGAAACTTTGAAGTCTTACATTTTAAAGTTGAATTTATTTCGTTGTACAATTTGTAATATTATTGGTCCGATACACCCTTACATTTTAAATGAGTTAACGTAATAACATAATATTGATGATTCATGTACATAGAATGTGAAATAATAACCATCGTTCCCCACATATTTATGACACATATATCATATATGACGCATATTAAACAAGTTATTTCGAATTTCGTGCCACAAAAATAGAAGGAATTGTGTGACCTCTACAATTTTTATTACTCGGTAAGCACAATTTATTTTCTATGTTTTTGGGTAATCTTAGAGGAAAATCATCCAGTATCCATTTGAATGTACAACATTATTTATTTTTAATTTTAAAGTCGACTTATGTATAAAGTTATATAATAATAAAATATAAAACCGATATGCCAAACCTTTAAAGTTAATTACCCTACATAACTATTTTTGTAATAATTGATTATATTCTAAGAGATTACTCGAAAAAATGAAAATGAATTCGCTTAGCACGTGAGTCTGAGAAAAAAGACAAAATATATCGCACTGACGTCCCCTCTCATGAGTAAAATGCATTGACACAATCGAATTGGCAGCATAGTTTTATATTTTATAGATATAATATCATTATTACCACTGCGGTACATTCAGCAATGCAATAGCCGCTCAACGTGAAATCCTCCAATTTCGGTGGTATGGCCATTTTGTCTGTGTACTCTAAGCCCAGTTCGATCACTCCGGCGTCATATTTTCTCACTTCTGGCGTTATGTACAATCGTACGCCAGAACTGTCCACCATGCCTACAACATCACAGCAGAAGTTTACAATAATTTCCGTACTCTCGAAGTGGTCGGTAAAGAATAAATAGAAATAGGAGGAGATACGTTGCCTTTTCTTAACCCGGGATTGTTGTAGTGCACCTCCAACATGATATAGCTGTTGAAATCGGGACCTCCTATGGGTAAACCGGCTTCCTGTCATGGAAAAATACATATATAGAACATATTTTAACTATCATAATAATCAACACCATCGATATTCGTTTCGGAAACGGATCGAGTGTACGCGATATATATGAAATCGACATTTTTTTCGGTTTAGTTTCATTACCTCGGGATACACGAATGGAGCAGCGCCCATGGCCCAGGCGGCCATCACTTTCTTACAAACTTGTGTCTTATATGGCCGTTTTTCCGAAAAACAAGGCCCACTGTACAGTGGTATCTGACTGCCGGCACTGGATTCGCAATGGAACACCTCCATGTGATGCACTACACCTCGACTATTTTCTTCAATAACCGACTCAAACTGTTTTCAAATAAAAATGTAAAATAAATTAAAAACAAGTACGCTGTACTCTGGCTATAGTACCGACTACCTACTGCTTCTATTGTGCAATTTTAAGGAATAATTACAAAACGAAATATTACAATATTTTGGATAAAATGTCAGAAAATATATCGTACACGTTATTGACAGTATTCTGTACTTATTCTACAATTAAAGTACAAAACATTTTTTTAACAGCTTTAACATTTTGTTATACATTATTTTGAAAAATTCATCCGTCATTATTTCGGGAATATTGTTAACTTCAAATTGTGTAATAAGTGATATCCCCAAAATCACAACATAACGCGTTTAATAAGTAATAACTATTCTCCATAGGTATAATTTTACTTTTTTCACTAAAATTCAAATGTATCGTATTATTTGTAATTTTGTATAATTCCTGAGGAAGTGGACGAATGGAGCTACTATACTTGCTATTCAACTGGTAAGACCAAAATACCAAACGGTAGATGAGATAAAAGTTGTTTCAATGAAGCTCTAAAGAGGAATTGGGGGGGGGGGACTTTTAGTTCTAAATACTTCTAAATAGAAGATGTATTATGTATTTATAACCTAAGCTATTGTGCCTATTCGAAAAATTAAATGGCTCTCTGATTTTGCAAATTCTGATTTCATCATAATTCTTATATTGGGTTAGTAAAATACCTCAAAACATATAAATCAAAACACGCAGCAGTTTAGTACAGAGTAGTGCGTATGCATACAAATATAAAATCGAAAACTTTGGAAAGACATACCTTCCAAAATAATGATTCTTGCAATTATTTTTGCACTATCGTTCATAACTCGTTAAAGTAAATATGTTTCAAAAAAAAAATGTATGGTAGCTATAATCTGCAATCATTCCTAATTTTGTTGTCACCTCCGTGATATTTTTTCCCAAGAGTGCTTTTATAAACTAATTTTATTTTTGTTTAGTCATTTTATATTCATGATACCTATATGCATATTATTATTATTTAGATTTTAGTGTACTTATGTATAAAAAAATACTCAGATATAAAATTCCGTATACGCAAACAAAAAAAATTGGAGTTGTTTAATTCCAGTTTTAAGGGGAAGTAATGCTAACGCTTGGGGAAGTAATGTTAACGCAGTCCCCCCTCTAGTTTTCGATACCACGAAAAAAAAAATCCAGTTTTAATCAGAACCTATTTGGTAGCCCCAAATTTATATTTTACCTAAAGGATACAAAATAATTGATAAAAAAAACAAAAACACAAAATGTTTCGGTAAAAACTACCATCGATTATTGGTAATATAAAATACATCGCGAGTTAAAATGATGTAAATTATATGTATTTATTAACTGTGCGTTAGCAATATGACGTAATGTTTACCCTGACGATATGATGTTTGAACGATAAATCTAGAGGAATCTTCATCACGTGACACCAATACGTCGTCTCATCCGCAGGAACGTTTACCTTAGACGCCAACACGTCTATTTTGGACACTTTATCCGGCAATCGGACAGGCGATGTTTCTGGTTTTAGCAACTGAACTCTTTGCATGCCCTTTGCTCTGGCCTGCGACACCAACAGCCCTTCTACAGCAAAAAGTGGGCCACCACCTACCATCCATACAAGGTGAGTGGTACCATCCTATGCATAATAATTTTTAATTATCATATTATTGATTTTTATATAATATATGCAACTACCATGTTATTAGGTACTAAATATGATTCTACTTGAACTTTAAAAAGTCGTTGTCATAATCCCAGTTGATTTTTTCAAAAAAAAAAATATATCGACACCCCCAACGAAGAGTATTGTAACTCACTTTTACACATTTTTTGTTCGAAGTCAGTGTTACCGTTTTTCTGAATTTCCAACAAAACTGTTAGTAGCATAAATCTATTAATTACGTTATCTATAATATAATGCAGTTATACAACCATAGATCATATACTAAATAAAATGTCTATAGTTACAACTATCTTCGCGGGAACCACGATGTATAAAGGTATCTTAGTCCACGGAGAGAACTATAGAAAAACAATAACACCGACTTGATAAAAAAAAATGTAAGTGATTGACAAAAAGTCAAGAAAATAATTCAGATTAAACTTTTTATAATTTATTTAAATCCCAATAAATGAAAAAAAAACTCCTTCAAAGTATATAATATTTGGTTTATTATAACAAAGGTCACTAGCCTGGATTAAATAATCACGGTCGTCATCACATGTATCAAATTTTCGAGTAAATGTCAAAGCAGTCCCTCCTCCATGAAATCTAGCAACATCGAACTCTTCACAATCCTGTCGCTCATCTACAGAAATTCTTCCAGCATCGTCTGTCCACGTGTCCTGCATAAAAATATTATTGCATATTGTATAAATAATCTTTGATTAAATTTCCCTGAACGTTTATAATATACTTTTTAGAATTATTGAATTGATATTTAAAAAATTTAATGTTTACATGCAAATAGACACACATCAACATAGTAAATACCATTCGTAACTTGTAAGTAAAAAAAAAAAATATTTCCTAAGGTTAATATATAATAATACATTTTAAATTGTTTAGTGGCTAGTGATAAAATAATATTTTAACATATATTGATTATTGATAATTCATTGCAACAAATAATTTACAAAAGAAAAATGATTAATCATCGGGCGTGGTGGAATTTTTTGACGATGCAATTATCTTTATTGGCATCTGTGAATTCCTAAAATTCTGACCAAAATTACACATACTTCGAATAGTCCGATTTTAATTCTGAAAATATTCTTAGATACTTAACGTTCTATATAAATATACTTTATACGTATACTATACTAAGTCAAAATTAGAATATTATACAACAATGAAAATATATTTATGTCATACAAGTTTTTTAAAAAGTTATATATTACTATAAAAAGACAACAATTTAACTGTATACTTTCTTGTAATTTTATCTAACCAAGGTTGCATTTATTATAACAAACAAAAATAAGGGTTCTTCATTTAAATCTCTCTTCAAAATCTTTAACGTATCGTTTTTCTCATTTTCAGTCAATTATACTCATCATATACCTATACCATCCATGTATAAACAGTTGCACTATTGGTGTAATATACAGAACGATTCACCAAGCACGCTCACCCTCCTCCCTCCCATTTTTTTTCAAATTCTTGAATTTTTTTTGTACTAAATTACTTAGGGAATGTCCTGTGGTGAAACAAAATTCTGTTTTTCAAATAAAATACCCTAACTCTAATAATTATTCAACGGTTAATTTTTTTTAAACATTTGGAGAAATTAACGTTAATAGATTGAACTAAAACTTTATGTACCTACCTCATTTACTCGCCTAAAAAATGGGTTGAACTAATTTAAAAGTATTTTGATGTACGCACTACTCTTAAATAAAACAATTTCTTTCTACAACGTGTAAAAATAATAAATGTTGTATTTGATGCACAGGTTTTATATATTCTGAGGAACAATTATTATTGAATTACATAATATAAATAAAAAAATCTAATTTAATTGATGAATTCTCAAATAAGATATATTGCATATATTTTAATATTATAAAAAAAAATGAGATTTACAGTTAATAAGACTTTGTATGTATAATGAATTTTGTTGTACATCCTCTCTGACTTAAAATGCCACTAAATCATTGACATACACACATGTGTCATGTATACTAGATAAAATCGTAGATCACTATAATAACATCTACGGTCCACCCACTAGAGAAAATGTGCATATACCACTTATACCGCTTATACCTGTAAGTAAAAATAAAGCTGACAGCATACCACCGTTCACTTCTAACGACATATGTGCCGTAAAATTACCTATATATATCGCCGTGAAATCCAAAAAGTGCTGTTTCCAATGATAGTTTGAGGAAAAGAAAAAATAATTTAAATTTTTTCCTCCTTGATCCGATTTCATAAACGATGAAATTATTTATGATACATTTGAAGTCATCTGAGGCCCGTGACAACTGTACGGCTGCAGCATGTACTTGAATCTTCTTCAAACATACACTTTAATGATTCGGCGTTAAAGAGGTAGATACGATGTGTGAATAAAGACTTAAAAAATGTAAATAGTTATAACTAATGCATGATGGCGGTAGGCATTGGTGGCCACCTTTATTTTATGCACTTTATCAATGAGCTGCAGGACATGATAAAGACTGCGCATCAGAGCTAAGAATGCACTCGATAATAATTATCATATTCCAATGTCTCAAATTCTTTAGTCCTACGATCTTGCCATTTCCGATTTTCCAACATATTAATAATTATTGTTTTACTTTCACACTACCCCTCTTGGCCACTTAAGTATAACAACCATTATACCCATTTATAAAAGTTAACAACGTAATGGTTATCTCCCTTGTATATAGTATAGTTACCCATACCGTCGCCACAATACCCACAATCCGATCCGAACCACACTCACCAACATGCCGGTGGCCCCTTTCCAGTCGACCCACATGACGCAGAAGTCGGCTCCGGAGTGGTTGCCGCGGTCCGAGAAGCCCACCGCCAGCCAGTCGAACGGGCCGCCGCCGGCCGCGAAGTGCGCTTCGAACTTAACCGACCTCGACCCGTAGTCGACCGTCCAGTAGACGGCCGTCCGGCCCGTGTCGTCCAGCGGTGCGGTGTACACGCGACGTCCCGCGGGCCCGGCGTGGCCGCCACTTGTGGCCGACAGAAGGACGACGACGGCCGCTACGACGGCCACCGGCAACTGCGGAGCGGACCGCTGCTGTTTCATGACGGAGGAGGTGTCGTTATAGAAATAATATGATAATTGTTGTGATGTGTATATGTTATCGTACGACTCGGCGCCGTGTCGGCGGTACGACTAACGAGCGATGAACGATAAGCGGCACGCGCGCGACCTGCAAACGACGACGGGACGCTCGAAACAGCCGCAAAGTCCGACTTGTCGTCGGCGACGCTCTGACGGCTGCCCCAGATGGGTGTGGGTTTTTGGGTGGCTGAGTCTTGGAGTCGAGGAGTGGGGGTGGGGGATGCGCGTCCCGTCTTGACGGTGTAGTGTAGATGTGTATGATAATTTATATTATAAGATGAATATAATATGTAGGTACTCAAACTGTGTATGAAAAAAAAAGGTAACAATGTGTAAATAGTAACTCGTTACAGTATCATTAGTACAAGGTATACCTTTTCTAAAGAATAATCAAATAAAATTAAATACAATTCACAGCAACACAAAATAAAATATTTTTTAATGATAACTTAATTGAAAAAATTAAGTGAGTGTGAGTGTGTGTTGTTCCGGCTAGTAATAGATATTATTCACCTTATTATGTGGTAGAGGAGTGTTGAGATGAATCAAGTTATTATTATTTTTAATTGAGCAGCAACAATATATAATAGGAATTAACCAACATGTCGTAAGTGATAATTATAATTAGATAACTAAATTATATTCACCAAAAATGATACAAATATGCATGATGAAAATCGCAATACATGTATATGTTCCTATATCTATGCACAAAAAAAATATACAGTAGGATATGCATTCAACATTCGGATCAAAAAAAAAAAAGAAAATACTAATATACTTTTTTTTATCAAAGCCACAGAGTATTATTTATATAGAATATCTTAAGTAGACTTAATTGTCAAAAATCTTTATAAAAAATTAATAAAAAACTTCAGGTAAATCACATTGTATTCATCAAAAAATGTTGATAATTTTAACCAAAAAATGTATATTAATTAATGGTTTTATGTATTTTTTATTAGTTCAGTAGATTCAATCAAAGATTCATCAGAAACCAAAGTAGTTACCATGTAATAATTTCTTGTTTTTTCTCGAAGCAACATATTAGTTGTTATAAATAACGAGTTTGAAAACAAAACTATGTTAAACAAAAAAATATAAATGTTAAGTATCAAATAAAAGTTTGTGATTATTTAAAAATGTATAAAATACACACATTATACGATTAAATAACAAAATATGCCTTAACCCCTCGAATGTGCATCATATGCAAAATAAAAGTTATTCCATGAAATCAGATTGATTTGAAATGCTCGCAATTCGAACCAACATAGTAAGTTGTGCATCCTACACACACTGTTGGTAATAATATGAACATGCATTCATTTCCGGTTTCTTATTATAACTATACTGTGCGTGACTGTATATAAAAGAAATAGCAGAGTATCACACCCCACATTTACACTACCTGCATGAATATTAAAAAATATATTTTTTTTATAAAAAGTATCTTTAGGTTAATAAACACCTATTTATATTAGTTTCGATGAAATTTCTAAAAATATATTTGAATCCATTGTGAAAATTTATTGAAAATGACTGTATTTATAATTGACATTTGTAATTTATTTTTCACTTTAATATAATTAACATTTTAAAATTATCAAAATTCAAAATATTAAAAGCTAATATTAAAGGGTTTAATAATTTAATTTTAGAAAATTGGAAATATAATTTTCAATAAAACTTTATCACAAATTCGAATACATTTTTAGAAGTTTTATACATAGTCGGTACAGTTGTCTTAAGATAGGTGTATTTTAGGAGCAAACACAAAGAGGATCAAATCACCTAAAAGAGTTTAAATATCAAACCTACATTTAAAAAAATAAAAATAAAGCTTTCATAAACTATATACAATATCCATAGGCACTGAATATGATCAAATATTGCATTTTTCATCTGTATTTAACTCAACTAATTTCAATCACATAGTTCATAAACTTAAATCATAAATTATTTTGTGTTGCTTATAAGATGAACTTGTGGACTTTTCCACAAACACTGTAATGCCAAACTTCAAAGTCTGACGATAAACAATCTTGACGAAATTATAATTATTTATGATAGAATATACTTCATATACCATCTATGACAGTTTACAATATGAATGCAGTTAACCCTTTTTAAGTTTATTGAAGTTTTATAAACTTTGTCTATAATGTTTAAAAGTGCATAGGTAATTACAAATACACAAATGCATAGATGTTATAAACAATTTAGTACCTATAAAAATGTCAGTTGAATAATTATTATGTTATATTCATTTTTAACGATATAAGTAATACTGAAATCCAAGGATAAAAAACACGTAATAGTTGATGTGTAAACAATTTATCGGTTAAGAATACAATTTTGGAGAGTACCATCCCTGAATGATTTCCCTCATCTTGTGCCCCATGTGTTATTTTTACTATGGATGTAGCGTTATGCGTCAGTCAATTTTTTTTACTTACTATGTTATGTAATACAAATTGTAAATTTTCTATTAAATAAAAAAAAGGATACACTTTTAAATAAATTATTATTGTTTACTTAGTAGTTAGTTCCTTACCTTATTCATTTAAAACGAACGAACGGTGAATTTCTTGACAATAATTTATTTAAAAATGTATCCATCGTGCAAAAATAGGTGGAGAATACACCTATAAATAAATTATGTATTTAATATAGTTCCTTAGTTCGTTGAATGCAAACGACAGACCACTCACAAGAACGAAGTGCAGGAGGACAGCATTACACCCTCTTATATCGTGTGCGTATCTATTTGATGTTATATAGTTCATAAAACTTCAATATATTTTTTTTTATTCTCTTTAAATATTACCACATGCATTCGAAGACGTTACTAGTCATCAACTAGTAAATGTTTTAAATCACTTTAGTACAATCACAGTTGTATGTACATTTTACAACATAACTGTTTGAATACCTATACAATATTGCTTTATATATTATTATATATCCCTAATGTATATATGTGCAATAGAGAGATAACATAATTTATTGAAAAGGGTTGTTTGCAGGTACCTGGTATAATATCACGTATTTATAATATTTACGAAAATCGAATATTTAAATTGACGAGTTTACATTGCATTATATTTATCAACAGACGATCTTCTGAAAACATTCATCACAATACAAATATATACAAGTATTATAATTCTGCGTCAGTCATAATAACGCTGACACGATGGACATTTGGGACCAGAAGAACCATGTTTTCAACGTTAGATTGGCAAAGGTTACAGGTTTATTTCAAATATTGGATCCCAGGACCACTAAATTTCGTGGCCGAAATCTCTACCACATTGTAATGGCAATCATCATGCTTTATGTGTGCGTCATATCGGTGATATTGGCCATAAGTAGTCTGTACTATTGGCCGTACAGTATTATTGTGAGCGTAGATTATGGTTGGAAAGGACTGATGACGTTGTTCCTGGTGCACAAGATGTGGAACGTCGTCTACCACTCGAACGGCATATGGAACTGTTTGTCGATCACGCGGTACGATTTCACATCGCACAGCCTCCGAAACAGACACGTCTTGGATAGTTGGCGAGACCGTTCGGTGAGGATAACGACCATCATGACCGTCGCGTATTCGACGTCGTCGATAGTTTTCGCGGCCAGTTCTCTGATATTCCGCGACGACATCATGACGGTGAAAAATCCCAACGGATCGGTTGGCAATTACCGACAGAACTTATTCAATTTGTACTTAATCGTAACCGACCAAACGTACAACGCGCACTACGATACGTTTTACATCGTTGAGGTGTTGTACACCGTCTTTTTGTCGATACTGTTCTTCATGTTCGATTTTATTCTGGTGACGCTGTGCTTGGCCGTGACCTGTCAGATGCAAATGGTAAACGTCTCGTTCGAGTCTGCCGGACATAAATCGGTCTATGACCCAACCATTGGTGAGTAAATCAGGTATATAAAAATATATAATGTTATGTAATGTAATCATCAGCACTGATTACTAGGCAAGTAAATTAATTTTTTTTACTTGTTCTGTACGTATATGGATGTACTTATTCTATTTATCTACATATAGTTTTGGTATCTAATGATACGACACACTCAACACAACGACTAATTAGTATTTACAATGTATATTAACATCGAATAGCCACATGCCCACTGTTTGAAGAGTTTGTATTGGCAATTTGAATGATATTTTGAGAAGAATTTAAATGCTTAATCTTAAATGTTGAATACTCATTCGTTGTATTTTATAAGTGTTAAGGTGTCAGTAACAGCAATGGTTATTATGGACTAATGAGATTCGAAACATGGTTGTACGAGGGACAAACTTATGAGTACCTACCTATAATTTACAGTAGATTTACTAATTTACTAAAGATTCAAACTACAAAAGAAATAACTTAATCTGTGCCATAGCGTTTCTTATTCGTTCTATATTAATAGTCTTTAACAATAATTTTAATAAATAACTGAAAAAAACAAAAACAAAGTGAGTCTGTAAGAATGAATTTTTGGATTCGCTTTAAGTTATTATAAAAAATAAAACACTACTATGTACATAAAATAAATGTATATATTTGATATATATATACGGCAGGTGTTTTCAATCTTTTTATGGAGCGGGCCATATATTATTTATTTTAAATCTTGCGGGCCGCATTCGTTGTAAAAACGCGCATTTTATGTAAAATTTCAGTTTTATTATTACAATTTTTAAAATTAGGTAAGTACATTTAAAATTAAAAATTATTATTATTCTTAAAACATATATAGATAAACATTTTTTTTTAATCAAACATTTTTTATTTTATTTTTAATGTGAAAACTGACAATGTTTTTCACTTACTAATTTTTCGATAGTTGGTTGGATCTGAGACGATGCAATTCTGAGTGAATTTTCCAAGTGAATATCAGTTAACCGAGCTCTAGTTTTAGATTTAACGATTTTCATTCGTAAAAATATGTGTTCACAAGTGTAAGTACTACCAAAAAGAGACATTATTCTTAATGCATTTTTTCGAAGATTATTATGTCTCCGTGTCAATATATTTCGAATAAAAAATTGAAAGTTCAACATTATTGTACTTTTCTTTTAATATAATATTGTTCTGTAAATCAATGATTTTCATTTGCATATTTTCTGGGACAACTTCAACTGATAATGAAAATGGAATTGAAAACAATGTTGAATTAAACAAGTTTTCATTAGCTTTGAAATCTAAGAACCTCGAATCAAATTGAATTTTAAATCAGAAATTGCTTCCACTACGTATTTTTCAGTTGAAATAAATATTAAAATTAGAATCGATACCCTGAATAAAAATTGCTAATTGCACAGTATCTGACAAATCTGTACTTTTGTCAAGGGCCAGAGAATTAAAAATAAATTACGTTATTTTAGGGTGCTCTCAGTATCAGTTCCTAGTTCTTCTATACTACGCCTTGCTACAGTTACTCCTGATACACTCAATTTGAAAAAAAAGTTGTTTTTGTACTGGACATACGATTTCAGAGGCTGCCTCCCTACACTTTTTTATAAATTCACCATCGCGGAACGACTTCGATTTAGCTGCAATTGTTTGTGCTATGATATGACTAGCTTTGACACTGGCTTCTGAGTCTTTATGACATTTTTTTATACTTGAAGACTGACCTTGTATATTTTTCATTAACAATGCAAGTTTGTCAATTCGAAGTTGTCCTTTTATCATATCATATTTTGCTGCATGTTTGGTACAATAATGTCGTTTTAAATTGTACTCTTTCATCACTGCAATCGATTCTTGACAAATCAAACATATTGCCTTTTCTTTAACTCGAATAAAAAAATAGCTATTGGACCTTTTTTCTTGACAAACGTGACTTTCATCCGATAGATTTTATGTTTTTTACTCACCGACATATTGTGCAAATATTACGAAGAAAAAGTATGAAATTGAAACTTTTACACAAAAACGAGAATATTGTGCTCGTTCCTCAGTCGATTACGAACTAACAGACAATATTAATTATATCTTGGTAGGTAATTCAATTTATCTTATCGCATATTTCCGATAGCGATAGCTTAACTGTTAGGTATAATTATTAATTTTATTGAACTAGAAAATGTACATGCTAAATTTAAAACGTGATGGTGGGCCGCATATTATGACAGGGCAGGTAACGGGTTGAAGACCCCGGATCTACGATAAATAAATTATTGTCAGGCTACTATGAATATTATCTTATCTAATATTATCTTATCGACCCACGTATAACTATTTTTATGAATAATTATTATGGGTGGTATAGCCAAATTTCAGTTTGAAATATTGATGCAATTATTATTTTTATTTGTAGATAACACAGATGAAAAAATATGTTTATCTAACGAACACGATTTAATTTATGACGAATTAATATCAATTATAATGGATCATCAAGCAGTTATGAAGTAAGAGTTAAATAATATATTATAACAATTCAGCTGTAAAATTAATCTTATTTAACTAAATAGTAAATATTAATTAACATAAATATATATTTATTATTTTGAGTTTGCACACTGAAAATACCTACGGTCAAGAAGCATATTATAAAATATAGATAGTATATATAATATATATGCTATAATTTATAGATTATAGCTGACAGAATTATTTCATTTAGAAAATATTTTTCAAATAAATAATTTTTTCAAATCTCCAAAAGTTTCATATAAGTGTGAAAACTTGTATATTTTAATGGTATTTATAACTATGAATACTCACAATATTGTTTTTAAGTAAATACTATCAACTTAATACTAAAACCATTTTTCCTTTAAAATTAAATATTGTTTGACTTCATTTTATACATCTAAATGGAAGCCAGGCATTGGGTATGCATTTTCAAAACATTAGTTTGCACGCCTTTATTCTGGACCGAAAGGAACATTTCCGAGGGATTCTCAGATTGGTTAAGATTTGGATATACATAAATGTATAAATTATTTTTTTATAGTTCCTATAAACTATAATATGTAAATTATTGCAATTTTGAGGGTTTACGGTTTACTTCTCAAAATCCCGCCTACACTGAGGAGGAGAGGAAGCTTACAAATTGATACTGTCCAATGAATGTAAAAAATTCAAATCACTTAACACGCCTCTGCCATTTTTTTTTCCAGGAAATATGGTGAACTATTAACTTTATTCAAACCATTAATGGTGTTGCAAGTTTTTTGGTCATCACTATCGCTCATCATGGTTTGGTTTAGTTTCATAATGGTAAAAGAAATACATAATATTAGATTTCATTGCAAGTATATAGTTAAACAAATTTGGTAAAAATAAAATTATTACATTTATTCAATAGTTTATACGAATGATACCATAATAAATTATTCTTATTTTCCCATGATGTACCTTAAATCTAATAAGAATTCATTTTTGCTCTTCTATTTTCTTTACGGTATTTTCAAAGAAGCTACAATTATTACAGCCACGAATCCTCTAATGTAAAATGTTACCCTTAAAACGATAAATGAGCACATTGTGATTCACTAAGTATACAAACTCGACATTAGTCGTATTTTAATAATTTATTTTGGTTATTTTTAATTTACTACTTACTTACTGTTGAGAGAACACATTTTTCTAAGACATTTCTTTTTTCTTTCTTTTCTTAATGGCTACAGCATACGATATTATAAACACCTCCTTTTAATTATTCTTGTTGATAAAATTAATAAAATATAACCGTAGGTACGGTATGTCGGTATATTATTGAGATAATCGTCTTAAATAAATTCTCCATTGTTCATTCGCTTATAAAATAAATTTAATATTCAACTTTAGTACACGTTCTTATGTTAAGTATTTATGAACTATCTTGTGGTTATATTGGGAATAAAATGATTTCAGAGTTTCTTCGGCCAAGATAGATTTGTTGCTTCGGAAGTTACAACAATCAAATTAATTTGCTTAATACCTTCAATTTCATTTCAAATATTTTTGGTGTGTTCTTTATTTACCAATTTACACAATCAAGTAATTTGAAATTTATTTTTATTATAATTTAATACAGAAAAATGCATGTACTATGAATATTAATAAATAATAACATTGAAAAAAAATATTTTTTAATTTTTCAAATCAACAGTATTGATACTTGATAATCAAATTGCGTATGATTAATATTAGGCATGTAATTACATATTTTTAATAAATAAAAATATGATTCTGTTTATTTAAATATTTTTTTATTTAAAGTTTATAAAATTCTGCTTACTCTAAAAAAAATTATATGTAATGCAATATACTCCACGCTAAAAAAAATTACCGGATTCAACCAACTATAACGTCTCAATTTTAAATGTTTTTTTTATAAATATCCTGTATATTTTGGCTTTTTTATTTTAGAAAGATTCAATAATATTCGCATTATACAGCAGTAATTGGACTGAAATGAATATTAAGTGTAGAAAATTAATATTGCTAACGATGAGAATGAATAATACAAACCAAAAAAAATTAAAATTTACTGGAACAAAAATTGTAAACTTGGAATTATTTTATAAAGTGAGTACTAGTTTAACTTTTAACTATTTAAGTTTGCAATCACATTCATTATATACAAAATATACAAAAATTAACTAAAAAAAGTTGTTCTACTTAATCGAGAATAAGCCAAATCGTGGACATGGGTGTCTGACAACCCATCAATTGTGACTTAAAGAAAAACAAACATGCAAATGCATAGAAATTGCAGACTCACTTATAAGTATTATTCTACTAAAATAATCAAACTCTGGTCAAATGTTATTGATGTTCGGAACTGTTTATTCTGAAATTATAATTCGTAACTTAATGGTCAAAATTATTATTAATCTTACATGTGTTTTACATTTAAAAAAGAAAGCTGGGTATCTTACTCTTCTGATGCTGATAAGTGTTGAATGACAAAATCATTAAGTAGAACACTTCGATGTAATACTTTGTAATTCAATGATAAATAATTCTTTAAGGAATGCGATTGTGAGATGAAACTGAGGTTACATCATATATTTGTTTAAGATTTGTAATATTACAATAACTAATTTATTTTATTATTTAGTAATATGGGAACAATTTATGGGTATGATTAAAACCTTGTAAGTTGTATCTATTACATTTCCGTGCTTTATTTTCAACTATACATACCTATATCAAACAAATAATATCATATTTCTATAAACGACTTAAATGTTGCACCTATTAATACTTTGAATATTTTATTGAGTAGGAATAGAAAAATATAGTATAACATTTAGTGTTATGGCTTAAGTTTCTAGTTTCTACGATAAATTGTTTTGAATAGGTACAACTCAAAATGACTAAAACGGTTTGATGAATAATCGTTACATTAGAATGTTATTGTATGCTTGTTTATACAATTTGTTTAAAATTTAAACATCAGAGCTTTATAAAAATAATTGTGGCTAAATATATATTTTTGATATTTTTAAATTGCTATGAGAAAATCTGATAAACCTTTGATTAACGAGCTCATAAATTTGTAAAATAAAAACAATTTATGCATTTTTGGGATTCTAACAAAATTATATAATAAATAGAAAATAATGATTTACATTTATATTAAAAATACAAGTCTCCTATACAGTAATTAATGGACTCAACAAAAAAAAAAAATGATTTTGTAGAAAATAATTATTAATAATAATAATTTTTTTTACAGATTATGAGTCATTGCTACTCAGTTGTATCGGTTTTAATAAATTGTATAAAAGCAAAGAATGAATAATTGTTGTCCATGTTTTATATGTTTAGTCAAGTATTACGTCGATTGCACTAATTGGATCGTCATTCACACAGATCAAAATTACTATTCATAATATGTTTAGAACTAATGTAACTTTATTATCAATAATATATAGTTAAAACATTTATCATTTATCATTGTTCTTTGATTTAATAATCACCTATAGTACATTACATTAGTTCGTTGAAAAGGGTTTCACTTAATCACAAAATGATTATATTATGTTAAAAAACTTAGTTGGATTTTTGTCAAAGATTTTATTTCATAATATATGTTTGTTTTTTTTATAAAAACTACAGTTTAAATGATTTGTAGTTTTTTTTAGCTGCTTACCGTACTATGATGTATTAATATATAATTTGTTAGACTTAGAACGTATGTATATTTAGAAATATGTATTGTTAAATTTTTCCTCTCCGTTTCTCCTCAAATATCATAAAATAAAACTATTTTGTATGGTCAGTAACATAGAGCAATATGGAAATATAATTTGATAAGATGTCGCTGACTGTCAGTTGCATTATTCATATTAATATTGATAGTAATGTTCATAATTATAAAACAAATATAATCAATAAAAATGAAAAATTAGATCAATCTATTTTTGCTTTAATTTGACATTTAAAAACATGTTAATTTATTTAATATATCAAAACAACTCACCAAATTAATTGGCATTTTAAAGACATTTAATCTTAGTCTAATTGTAAAAAATTTAACTGATAAAATTATTGATTTTGCTACCAAATGTCCCAAAACTAAACCGATTTCGAAAAAGATTAAAAATAATACTACGATGACGATACTATGGCAGAAACTGAACTTGTTAGGGATTAGATATCAGGTTAAATAAGGTCTAGCCACAAGTAGGTACATTCAAAGACAACAAAAATTAAATTTGTTAAGTTGTAAAGACGTATTGTTTGTATTGCAATACTTCATAATTTAGATTCACGGAAAAAAATGTTTGTTTGTTTTAATCAGAATATAACTCGCCTTCCCGCAGCAAGGTTTTTCAGTTTTTGACCAATCATTTGGAAGAAGTTGTCTACAAATATTTATTAACAGTATATTGTAGTAACAAGGTACAGTATAGAAGTACCTAAGTATATTCCTTATTTTTCGTATTTATATTTAACTTACAAATTTATTTTGACGTTATCTTGCACACAAGTACTTTGTGAAACAGCATTTTCAAAATTAAAATACCTATATCTTAAATAGACTCCGAAATTGTTCATCACAAGACAAAATGGTTTCCATTAATGAATATTGATTATTAATAAAGATAGTTTGGTCAAGATAAAAAATAAAAATATTATACAAATTGTAGTTTACAAAAAAGTTAGTAAAAACAATTAGTAATTTAAAAATAATATTCATAAATGTTTTGAAGTAAAACTTCTATATGTATTGACTTCACAATGATGTGTTTTTTTTTAGTGTGTAACCGTAACATTTCAACAAAATTGATTAAAATATCAAAATCTTGAAAATGTGTAAATTATTTTGCAGTTGAAAATGTATAAAATATTTGATTTTAATTTCAAGTGTCAGCCATACATCTTAATATCTTATAGTAATACAATAACATTTATGTAGTACTGTAGTAGGTATAAAGTTAAAGATAATATAACATGCAAATAATAATCATAAAATATTCATAACATTTGTTAGATATACATTAAAAAAGACTATATTATTAGTTAATAATTTATTATAAAAGAACAAATGTTTACAATGGCCATTAATCTAGTAATGACGGTATTTTGAGTATAATTTGCACGATGGAAAGACACATAAAATATAATATATATTGGGTTGCCTAGTACGAGAACCGAAAACCAGAATATTAAATTTAACTAGTAGCTCAGAACAATCAATCATACTATTTAATAATTTAAAAATAAAACAAAGATCTCCAAGAGGTAGTACCGAGAGGTTCTAATTTAGTTAATGATAACAATGATGAATACGATGAGTGAAGACATCGCATTTAAAAGCAAGAAACCTTTAGAAACGATTCTGAATCCATTCAATAGCTTCAGCAGGATCAGACTTTTAAGGAGACCAAACAACAGAATTAGTACCTATCAAGGGAAAAATTGGACATTTGAACAGTACAAAGATTTTAGAGCTATTGGATTATTGAAATCAGAACATGTTCTAGTTACAAAATCTAACATGGAAAAAAATTTATTTGTAACATATGTAAGATAGTGATCATTGAACAATGAGAAAGAGTCAAAATATAATCCAAGTTCTTTAGTATGAGAGATTCTAGCCAATTTAATTCCATTTAAATAATAATAATAATTTTGAGTTATGATTTTTTTTTTGAATATGACATGATTTTACATTTTTCAAAATTAAAATATCGATTATTTAGTACACACCGATCATTGAGTAGATTAAGGTCATTCTGAAGAAGTTTTGCATCACCGGGAGTTCAATTTTTTACTATAATAGGTATAATTAACATTTTAAAAATATCAAATCATACATTCGAAAAATAAAATCTTCATAAACTATGTACAATATATCAATATCTATATAATTGATAATAAACCACATATTGTATTTTGTAGCTATAATATTTAGCTCAACTAATTTCTACCACAAAGCTCATAAACTTAAAAAATTAATCCTATTGTGCTGTTTGCCTGTTTATACGAATTTGTGGTCTTTGTACAAACTTCAAAGTTTGACGATTAACAACCTTGACAAAAGTAATATTATTTATTTATTTATAAACGTCATATACCATATATGCTACGACGATGACTGTTTATTTAGGTGCAGTTAACCCTTTTTTAGTTTATCAATTTTTTAAAAACTTTGTATACAGTAGTTTTAAAGTATAGGTAGTTAATAATACACAAATGCATACGTAAAATGCTGTAAAATGTATTATTAAAATTGCAGTTTTATAATTATTATGTTATATTTTTTTACACGGCAGCCGCGTAGGTAATACTGAGAACCCAAGGTAAAAGGATACAGGATAGTTGAAGTCTATAATATAATGTCTTGACAATAATTATTTTAAACATTTATTCATCATGCAGAAATAGGTCGAGAATACCCCTATAAATATATTGTGTTTCCTTATTAATTCCTTATTTCATTTAATACAAATGTCAAACCACTCAAGGAACGATGTGCAGGTAACCAGCTTACACTCACCGATCTCGTGTAAGTATTTTACGCTTTACATCATAAAACTACAATATCATTTTATGTCTCATGTCTGTACCTAAAAAAAATATTAACATACATTCGAAGAAGTCATCAACTATATAGCAAATATTTTAGATTACTATAAGTTCTAAGTACATTATAAAATAAGTGTTTGATAACCTATATAATATTTTTTATGTACCACTAATGTATGCATCGATATGTGATACAATAAAGGATACCATTTGTAACATAATTTTGGTTTTACTAGAGGGGAGGGTTATCAAATATAATGTATAGTAATTATATCTACGAGAATTGAATATTAAAAGTGATGAGGACCTCTATTATATTATTACATTATGTTTGTCAACAGACTACCCTTTGAAAACATTCATCGCAATACAACTATATATATTATATATAAATATTATAATTCTGCATCAGTCATAATAACGCTGACACGATGGATATTTGGGATCAGAAGAACCGTGTTTTCAACGTTAGATTGGCAAAGGTTACAGGTTTATTTCAAATATTGGATCCCAGGACCACTAAATTTCGTGGCCGAAATCTCTACCACATTGTAATGGCAATCATCATGCTTTATGTGTGCGTCATATTGGTGATATTTGTCATCAGTAGTATGTACTATTGGCGAGGCAGTATCCTAGTAATCGTGGATTATGGTTGGAAAGGACTGATCGCGTTGTTGCTGTTGTACAAGATGTGGAGCATTGCCTACCGCTCGAACGACATGTGGAACTGTTTGTCGATCACGCGGTACGATTTTACATCTCACAGCCTCCAGAACAGACATATTTTGGATCTTTGGCGAAAACGCTCGGTGTGGATTACGAACACGATGGCCCTCATGTATTTGATATCACTGATGTTCTTCACTGTCAGTTCTTTGATATTGAGTGACGACATAATGACGGTGAAAAATCACGATGGTTCGGTGGGCATTTACCGACAGAACATATTAAATTTGTATTTGATAGTAACTGACGAAACGTACAACGCGCACTACGACACGTTTTACTTCGTCGAGTTGTTCACCATCGTCTCCATATCAATATTATTCTTCATGTTCGATTTTATTCTGGTGACACTGTGCTTGGCCGTGTCTTGTCAGATGCAAATGGTAAATACCGCGTTCGAATCTGTCGGAAATAAATCGCTGTGTGGCCCAATTATTGGTGAGTAATTTTTGGACTTTCAGATATAGATACAGAGTGTAACAGGAAGACCTGACAAATAAAATAACTTTTGATCTAATTTTTTTTTATTCATACAATTTATAGATCGACTCGTGCGTTATACGTATTAATTATACTTTGTATTATATATTTTGAATAGTATTTTTGAATGCTGAAAATAAAAAAACTATAATCTGATTCAAATTCTTTTGAAAATTTAAAAATAGCCATTTTGTTTATTTAGAAAACTATTGATTGTAAAAAATAAAAAATTTATGAGAGTACGTAGATTATTTTTTATGTTTTTTGAAAAGTAATAACTGAAGTATCAAGATTTTCAAGAAGAAAAATTCGATACGTATCGATACGTACCACCTCGTATCGAAGTCCGAGTCCGATACGGGTCGGAACGTATCGCTTGTATATTGCACGTGTAACTTCTTGAACGCTCAAAATTGCCTCGATACGTATCGATACACTCCAAATTCTTCCTCGAAAATCTTGTATATTGCAGTGGGTATTATCTCAGTATAAGTTGTCTCATATAAAACCATTTTTATGGTCAAATTACGAGTGGTGTGACCAAATTTCAGTTCAAAA